GTATACCTCAGGAGTTAGTCCGTCTGGTCCTGCTACCCTCTCTTGATTCAAGTTACCTACAACTTTCTTGGTGTACGTCACCCTCAGTTCCCTTTTACGTCGGTACCTTTAGGTCTCTTGTCGGACGTATTGGCAATAACGATTGGAACGCCATCATCTGACACCACAATGAACTGACAGCTATCATTACCACACAAGTGTTTTCAGACCGTTAACATTTCGTCATCATCATCATCATTATCAACATAGGACCAGGCATTACTGCGTAACGGTCCGAGTTGCCACACCTTAGGTCAGTTCATCAAGCAGAAAGGTAGTGAGGTGAAGGATGAAGATAAGTGAACGCAATCAAAGTAAATATAAAGTACGAGAAGAAAGGAAAGAGGAGTGACAAAATGGTGAGATTCGGTATAGTGTAGTTAAGATGAGGATAATGTGTGTATGCATCTGCACCACTGACATCGGTTCTCAGCCATATCACCTAGGGTCTCCAACCACTGGTTCCTCTTGTCCCGTGGACCCCAACCACCTAGTCTGCATCGTCCTACATGGCTTAAACCAACAGTCAGAGACTTCATACATTGGTGCCATGTTTTAGGCAATCGGTGACTAGGCATACGTAGTACGTGTCCCAACCATCTCAGTCGATGAAGGTTCACAACCTCGTCGACTGACTTACCTCTTCTCCCTAAAACTCTACACCTAACTTCTGCATTACTCACATGGTGACACCACGGAATACGTCCTATACTACGAAGGCAACGGTGGTCAAATACCTGTAACCTTCTCATGTCTTCCACTTTCAATGGCCATGTTTCACAGCCATACAGTAGAACAGAGCGGACTGCTGTGCAGTACACGCGACCCTTAATAGACAAACGAATATCACGGCGGCGCCATAGGTGGCGCAAATTGGCAAAAGCCAATCGAGCCTTTTGTATCCGTGCAGAAATCTCATCGGCAACTAACCCACCGGGTTGATCCTACTTCCCAGGTAAGTGAAGTGGTCAACACACTCAACCACTTCACTCTCTATTGTTAACCGCGGTACCGCTGAAGACCAGTCCTGGAGCAAAAATTTGCATTTGGGTGGTGAAAATCGCATCCCAAACATTCTCAAATTCCCACTCAAAGTGTTCAGAAGACTCTGCATCTTGTCAGCGTCTTCACCTAACAGGACTATGTCATCTGCATATTCTAGATCTAAGGAAAATTCACCTGTGATCCGGTCAACGTCTTTGTAATTAGGTGACGAGAGGGAAACCTCCATAAGAATATCTATGATAAAATTAAATAAGAATGGGGATAGTGGGCATCCTTGACGGACACCACTTGATGAGTATAGCTCCCTGGACAACTCACCATAGGCTCTAACATGCCCACAAGTGTTCGAGTAGAGAGCTTTCAATAAGGTGATGTACTTACTAGGCACGCCTTTCAGTGACAGACACTGCCATAAGACTTCTCGATCAACGGAGTCAAATGCCGCCTTCAGGTCGAGAAATACAGCTATTGTCGGGCGTCTGTAAGCATGCCTATGTTCCAGGACCTGGCGCAGTGTGAATATTTGGTCGATACATCCACGGCCAGGTCTAAAGCCTGCCTGGTTTTCTCGGGCTTGCTGTTCCCGAGCTCCACTCAGGCGTCGGAGAATTATAGAACTTAGGATCTTAGACACTATGTTTGTCAGGCTGATTCCTCTGTGGTTATCACAAGAGGACTTCTCGCCTTTCTTGAAGACTGGGATGATCAGTGACTTAGACCAGTCGGAGGGGATCGTATTTGATTCCCATATACTGGCTAACACTTCCGTTAGCCTGACTAAGAGAACTCTACCACCATTCTTGTATACCTCAGCAGGTAGTCCGTCTGGTCCTGCTGCCCTTCCCCGTTTCAGGCTACCTACCGCTTTCTCAACTTCTTCTAGTGTTGGGGGACCTGTCTCTATGTCCCATTCAGGGTCCGACTGGATAGCGGGCAGCGCAATGGTGGCTGGAGGCCAGTTAAACTGTTCCTCAAAGTGTTCTGCCCATCGTCCCAGTCGCCTTCCCTGCGAGTGAATCGCCGATCCGTCCTTCTCCGCTATAACCTCACTAACTGTTGTTGACCATTTCCCCCCAGTCTCCTTAATAAGTCTAAATAACTGTCTACTGTTACCGATCGCCGCTGCCTTTTCCATCTCTTTAGCCTTTGCTGCCCACCACTGTTCACGATCGTTGCGCAGACTTTTCGTCAGTTTATTTTTAAGTTGCGCTCGCTCTTCATTGTACTCAGAGCCTGCAGGGATGCATTCACGTGCATCCATTAGTTTGGAAGAAGCTGCTGATATCCACTGGCTCTTTTTAGCCACAGTCTCCAGTGCTGCTTTTACAGTAGACTGAAGATGGCACCAAGCTTCTTCTGGATGAGTGACAGTCTTTTGTTCCGATAACTGCCTAGCCAACTTCTCACTGAACACGGCTTTGGTGTTTTCGTTGTCCAGCAGAACTCGTAGTGGTTTTGTTGCCAAATTTTTTCTACGTCCATTGAGACGCAGGCATATACGTGCTCGGACCAACGCATGATCGCTGTCCAAACACGTACTCCAGAAGGAGCGGCAGTCTTCCACCGATCCTCTCCAGCGATGACTAATAGCAATGTGGTCTATCTGTGTCCATCGCTGAGTCGAGCTCGGTGGACGCCAGGTCAGACAGTGCCTTTCTTTATGTCTGAAATTTGTGCTGGCTAAAAATAGGCGGTTATCTGAGCATAGTTGTAATAGGCGATCACCGTTATCTGTACGTTCAGCTGGGATTCCGAAAGTGCCACCTAAGTGCCTTTCTGCCTCACTCAGTCTACCCACCTGTGCGTTGAGGTCACCTGCAACAACCACTACGTCCGAACGTTTGGCTTTCGAGAGGAGGTTAGACAGTTTATGGTAGAACTCGTCCTTCACTTCATCCGAACTACAGTCAGTGGGTGCGTAAGCAGAGATTACAAAGAGACAACGGCGAGTCTCACTATTCCTTTTAGTTCTCACTGTGCCGTTCAGCCTCATAGCGCAGAGGCGACTATCAACTGGGATCCAGTCTAGTAGTGAGTTTTCTGCCCTGGTGCTTAATGCTATACCTACACCTGCAAGACCACGAGAGCTAGCTATCGAATCTCCAGAAACTCGAAGGGTGAATTTTGCAGATTCACCAGATTGGTCAGGAGAGGTCAGGTGAATAACCACACTTGGGTCCTGTATGCGTGTCTCACAAACACAGCACACATCCATGCCCGAGTTGCTAGAGTCTTTGCCAACGAAGCCTGTTGGCCAATTTGACGGAGGGTGCGGACATTGAAGGCTCCAATATGTAATTTGGAGCGTGGTTTAAGGAGACCAGGGACGCTGTTCTGTGGACTCAGATCGTTGTCGAAGGCTGCAGAGGTAGGAGAAATTGAAGATGATGCAGCATCATTAATTAAGAGACGTGAAGGAAGATTAGAAGGTAATGATGGAGGAGGAGGATAGCAGTCAGAAGAAACTTGGGTGCTGACAGAGTTGTGAGGGCGGTTGACACTTCCCGGCTGCCCACACCGTGGAAGGCTATTTCTTCTTAAGGTACCTGAAAGAGATTTGTGTGACCGCAGAGCCCATCGGACATCTGCTTGAGGCCTGTCACACCCAGCCTTTTGAGTATGATTATTTTGAACTTTTGTATTTTTGGGGCCGGATGGGCGAAAGGAAACGACAAGTGAACCAACACCGCCGGCCCGGCAGACCGTGGGGCGTGGTGGAGTGTGTTATTTTTGGGGCCGACCTTTTCTAACCCCCCCTTCCACTGAGAAGGCAGCATCAGCATGGCACTGCTGGTCATCCAAGGGAAACACCTTACTGCTGTCACACCCCATCCAGCTAGCAGCAGTACGACTTCGCCCTCAGACCCCCATCATAGTGTAGCAATTTACACTATGACGGTAACTGCTTTTCGTCTAACCACTACCCAACAGACCTTTCTGGTATGGTAGGACCTCGAGGGAACAAGCGTTCCACCAGCATAGCTCGTTGGGTCATTGTGATATGCAAGCCCGACCACCACGTCAAGGTAGCAGCTATCGGTCGACAGCTCCCTGAATTAGGGCTGACAAAGGATTACAGCAGAAGTCACAAAACCAGATAGGAGTTGGTCTACGGCAAAGCTTGTGCACGGTTGGTGCACAAACTTTATGGACCAACATCCATACGCATCACATTATATACCTTCGTTGAATTGGAACCGACAGCTAGGTCAACCGCAAACATGATCACCGCTAACTGTGATTCACGATTAGTTTAAGTTCCCACTACAGCCGTACCTGAACTGAAGTATTCAGGGAAAGTTAAGCCACAGATACTCAGGTTACAATAGCAACAAAAAGCGATGAAATACAAAATATGATTAGAAAGCCAAATCATTGCGAAAGTAAAAAATTCCCCCCCCCCAAAAAAAACCAACTTCAAGTATTAAAATGATAAAACTTCAAACGCCGACTTAATTATTCCACGTCAATGTTTACAATAAAGTCTGACACGAATTACATAACAAAAACCAAATATGTCAAAGCGTGTGGAGTTTCCCTTCCTGTTTTTAAGTCTAGGCAATAATTTGTGCACCAAACATTGTCCACGATTCAACCCGGTAAAGAACAATGATCAGTGTGGAACCGTTACTGAAAATGATAAAGACCATAAACTCAACGCAAACAGTGAGAAAATAGCATTGGTTATAGCTACAGGGTCATTTGAAATCCTAGAAAACTAGTGTTTCCGGTTAACACATTTGTTGATGGGATTTATCGGATGTAAATGATAAAACCCAAACTAACAAAAATGGGGAAATATATCATATTGAATGCTTTAACCAAGACGTTTGAAAAAACACCAAGTTAACGCAATGTATAGGAGTAAAACTTGGGTACTGTGATCGACTGTAATTCCATTTTAGTCTGTTTATTAGAAATATCACAGTGAAACAGTATATTACTTGATAACTTACATACAAGGTGTAGGACTATTATGTTTTCAGAAATGCTACACTCTGATGAGTGAATAAGAGGAATTTTACAGCAAGAAGGGGGTGAAAACAAGTCCTAATTACATGATATACGTCCGACAAGAGGCACCGTTAATATCCCATAGGTAGGTCGAACGTACACTAATTATGCGCCTAATGTGAGGCGCGTACTTTGAAATAAACTAAAACAAATAATGAAATTTATTAAATTATTTTTTTAACATAAACAATTAAAATAACCAATTGAAAAATATTGATTACCATTTTGTAATTATTCATCCCGATGTGAGTCTGTTAAAGATGAAGCCTGTCTCATCCCGTGCGTCCTGTTTTGAACTTCGTTACGAAAACGTCTCCACCTGCAACAGTTTACAATTTCATTCTCCTGGATACTGTCTTAAAAGTTCTATAGACTGGCTGCTCTGGAGAAGTCATTCTTTGTCTAATAATGAACGAATCGTCTCAAGGTATTATTAATTATTAGGCTATAATCTTCCCTGAAGATACTTTAGAGGAAAGGTATGAGATGCTAAAAAATCTGTGTCGACAACAGATAGTGGTAAGTTCGTTTACCTCAAGATCACCGATATGCTTGAAGATAAATGAAACTCTTAAATCTGAAATTTCTAAATTAAACAATATTATACGTGTAGTATCTGATGAAAGAAGGTTAGTCTACTGAACTTTGTCTCCTAAAAGTCAGCTTGCTGCTAGATGAGTTGATCAATAATCATACTTCTTGTCGCAACACCATAAAGAGTGAAACGAAAAATCAAAAGTAAGTTCCAAACGGATGCTGACAATTCCTGTAGATCTTTAGTACAAACAGGAAACAAACGAGCTGTCAGTATGTCCGAAAATGAATACCAAGGCGTAAAGAAAGTGAAAAATGACCCATCCACCGTTGGTAAGTCTACCAAGCCATAGACAGTGCTGTATTATTTAGTTTTTCTCATAAGTTATGGTTGACTTTTGAATGGGACATCCTCCTTTCTTGCCCTTTGTTAATCTTTAAGGTCTTAAGATGTTTGGCAACTGCTTCCTTGACGTACTTATCTTGTAGTTTGTCTCACCTTGAATCAATTCATAGGAGCTCATACTACTTACTGCTACAAAATTTGATCATATATCGCGAGAAATCATCACCAGATCCGTTTGTATTAGACATATGTAACAATTTTATTTCAATGCTTTTTAAGTTTATGTACATGTTAAGTACAACAATACTAGATCTACTTAGTCGTCTTCTAACGTTAAAAAAGCATAAACACTAAGCTGTTGTAGCTATAGATGCCGGAGTACCTGCCGTCTTAGACTTGCTACTTCTACCCAGTGAATCATATGCAGCCTGTAAATATGTGCTAATTTCTTGGCATTGAATTGACTTTTCGAAATATTTCTTACTACCAGACCATTCACAGAATGTATCTTCATCATGAAATTTACGTATTTCCTAAATAAGAATCCTAACTACTATGTAATACGGTATTCAGTTTCTATCAATATGATGACTATGACTACGGTAATGCTTCATCGAAAGGATTATCAATATTTGTCCCAGTATGGAAAACCAGTTGAGTACTTTTACTGTTTAGCTTTTTTTTTCCTGCAATCAGAATTTACCGAAACTGGTTTCGGAAAAAAATTTAGTTTTATTTACTTTCTATTTCCCCGAGTCGTAACTTTCTCAAGGAGGACAAAGCTGAGTTAAACCAATGTCATGGTTCATGTCCTAAACCGATTTACTGGCTAAATCACCGAACCTATATTTCGTTTCTTCAAGATTGATCGGCTCCAACTCCTAATGCAAGGTAGTGGGTGTTGACCACTTCACTTGAGTACTTGCACCGACCCGAATGGGTTAACCGGCACTCTCATTTCATCGTTTTAAAATCCTGTGATCCCGCTCCATGAAGTCTCTAACTTAGGTATGCCGTCAAGCTAGTATCGTTACGTTCGAAATCAATGGTTTGATAATATTGGTGATTTTCCTTATAATCAACCACGATGGATTAGACGCATCTGCTCTTTGTCATTCTTGAATGTCTCAGACATTCTCACCAACTGTTTGTTTATTCTCTCAAACATTTTCGGCTAATGTTCGTCGTGCTACTTAGTCTGCTATTTTGCGTACTGCAGTGAAGTGATGCAACCTGAACCGATGCATTTCTATGCGTTCCTACTTTCATCTATCTGTCTTTCAATTTTTCCTCAACGATAAACATAGTAGGCCAAACAGCTGTTACCTTGATGTGGTGGTTGGCCTTGAATATCACAATCCAACGAGCTATGCTTGGGAAACGCTTGTCTTCTGGAGGTCTTACCACACCAGAAATCTGTTAGATAGTGGTTAGATGGAAACCAACCCTTATATTGTAAATTCTGGTCCTATGATGGGAGTTCGATAGCGAAGTTGTACTGCTGATAATGGATATGACAGCACTAAGGTGTTCCCCATGAATGACCGGCAGTATCACTGTAATACGTCCTTCCCTATGGGAACGGGCGACGGATCAGAATAAGTCAGCCCTAAAATAGGCATCCTGGTGGTATCTACGGAATCTCATGCCAACAAACCGAAAACGGTGATCGTCTTTTTAAGTTTTGTCCAGACAGTTACTTGTTTCGTACCAGCACCCTAACTAGACATGAGGAGAGACATTCATGGCATCCTCTAACATCAGGCCAACGACGGACACAGATCATATTGCTGCTAGCCATCAGTGGAGGTTTGCCGCTCCTTATGCAGTATCAGTTTGGACTCCGATCGCCTTACTGGACTCTGGAAACAGATGACAGTAAAGCCTGTCTATACCGTGTTGGAAGATAAGGACACCAATACGTATTTAGGGAGGAGTTAGATTAACATTTATCTGAACATAACTGCAACGCTCAGCTTAGGAAACCTGGTGTCATATTAAGTTTGCTGTAGAAACAGTGGTTCAGTTAAAACCACCCAAACGTTAGACTTCCACAACGTCATCCGAACTGACTGATGCTAGAGGACTGATTCCATCTGGCTCTAACCGCCACAACAATGAGCAAAAACAACCTACGCGTATTCTTATCAAGAGTTTTCTCAATCACTGTGATCAGTGGTGGGTGGCGAGAGCGAGATAGATGAAGAAGGCATCAGCGTTGGCTAACACTCGTCAAGTATTTAGGCCTATTAAGGACACCGGCAAGAAGAGGATGATGGTTAGTGAAACCCCTTCCGAAAGGATGGCACGTGGTTAGCCTCTCAGGACAGGCGGCTAGAACACCTTGAAGCACAGTTTAACTGGCGCTTAATAACGCTTCAGTTGCCCAACATCCATCCTGAACTTGAATGGGTCGTAAATATCGATCCTCCAACTCTCTTTGAATTTGAGGTTGTATCGAACCTGAATCGATAGAAAGCAGCCGGACCTTACAGTTTGCCATCTGAAATTTTCAAGGATAGAGGAAGGACATTGCTGAGTAGAGTAACGGAAGTATTAGGTAGTGTATGGGAACCATAGTTAGTCCTGCCATACTGGTCTACTTCGCTGATCATCCCAGTTTGTAAGAAGGCCGAGATGTCTTCCTGTGACAACCATGAGGGAATTGGTTTGAATAAGTGTCCAAAATCCTAGTGTCCATAATTATTGGAAGCCTAACTGGAGCTCGAGGACAGCTAACTCGAGAAAACCAGATAGATTTCAGACCTGGACGAAAGTCGATTGATCATATTTTTCATCCTCACACAGGTTCTGAAACACAGTCATATGTACCGACACTCGACACCCCATATTTTTTGACGTGAAGACGGCATTTGACCCTGTCGACTGTGAGATGTTGTGGCAGTCTCTAACTGTGTAGGGAGTACTGAGCAAGTATACAATGCTAATCAAAGCTCTCCACTTGAACTCACATAGCCTAGAGCGTATGGAGAATTGTCATGTGAAATGACGACAATTCGTGGTTTCCGGCAGGGATGCCCGCTGTCACCTTTCCTATTTAACTTCGTCATAGACGTACTAATGGACATAACTTTCTGTGTCTGACTTTACAGGAATTGATCTTCCTGGAGGTAACCTGGCAGCTGGCAAATGTAGATCCTGCTCGAGGGCTGATCTGAAACCACTCACCGTCTAAAGGTAGAAAATCAAATGGTGTGATGTGTCGACCACTGGAAAAGTTGCATTAGCTGGTTTCAGGCGAAATCGAGTTCGGATACTGACTGATAAAATCAGCGTAGAATCTGGCACACTGGTGCATCCGCTGAAGTCACAATTCACTGTGGTACACAAAGAACAGGTGAATAGAAAAGGAGTTTAAGAGAATAAACAATCTGTAGATAAAGGTTAGTGCAAATATACAAGCTTCATAAGATGTCAAGGAGTGAATACATCTGCCCCATCGTGACCGGTTTTCAGCCATTTGACCAAGAGTCCTCAACCACTGTTTAGTTTTGTCTTGAGGACCCCAACCACACAGTCTTCATCTACTCACACCAACAGTAGGACACTTCATCGACTGGTGTCAGGTCTTGGTCTGACCACCCTTAACCCTCTTCCAACGTAATCCACTTTCCCTAACATGGCACGTCGTGGTAAGTAGTGGTTTGGCATGTGCAGTACATGTTCAAACCACCTAAGTCGACTACATTTCAAAACCACATCAATCGACTTGCCTGTCTCACAAAGTACTTATGTCAACATCGCTCACACGGTGATTCCACCTAACGCAATGTGATCAAGAACCTGTAACCGCTTCATGTTTTCTACTTTTGACGGCCATGTCTCACAATCGTATGGCATGAGAGAGTGAACCGGAGAGGCGTGTACTCATCCTTTGATAGATAGTCGGATATCTCACCAGTCACCAGTGTCAGAGATGATGTGAGTTGGCAAATGCCAGTCGGACCTTCTGTAATCCGAGCTGAGATTTCGTCAGCGACCAACCAGTGTGGGTTGATGCAACTTCCCGAATAAGTGAGTTGGTAGACACATTCCACCACTTCATCCTCTTTCTTTGAACTGGAAGTACTTGGAGGAGACTAGTCCTAGAGCATCATCTTACATTTTTGCACTTGCGAGACATGCCATAAGTTCAGATGCAGAAGGCCACCTAGAGAACTTGAATTAAGTTAGGAGAAGGTTCAGGGTGATCAGACCAGGACGTGGCATCAGTCGAAGTCTTTGACTGTTGATGTTAGTCGTTTATGCAGGCGTAGGTTTCCCTGGTTGTGGTCTCCGGGACGATAGGAATTAGCGGTTGAGGACTCTTGGTGACATGGCTGAAACCAGTCACAATATCACAGCTGAAGATATTGAAGGAATTAAAGATGACAGAAAAGTTGACCGAGAGACGTGAAGGAAGATTTGAGGAGAGAGGTTTTGAAGGTTGATAATGGGAAAGAAGTTGAGTGATTATTGATTTATGATGGCGGTTCTTACTCGTTAGTTGACCATTCCGAGGATGGTTGACCCTTCTTTAGGTACCTGGGAAATGAATTCAAATTATATGAATATGGACAATACATCATGTCCGAAACGTTATCCAGTAAATGATATTGTTTCACTGTGTGACATTTCTAATTAACAGACTAAAATGGAAACATCTCTGATCTGGAAAACATCATAATGCGCAGCACTATTATTTAAGTGTGCAGTTTACCTTATGTAGGCGCATCAAGCGAAAATACACCAAGATGAAAATTGACGAAATAGGGAATAAGGTCGTCATGTTGGTAGAATCGCAGTTGACTTTCATGCTTGCACTGTTGACCTGAGTGGGGCAATTTCAACGAACCGAAGTAAAGAAACTTATTGTTGTCTGCTTGTAATCCTTGCATACGCACTCACTGACTGCAGTTTGAAAGAAGTGAAAGATAAGTTTTACTGAAAACTATCTAGTCTCCTACTGTCAACAGACTTTTGATTTGGTTGGTGGTTTCAATGCACGAGTTGGCAGGCGAAGTCAGGCAGAAAAGCGCTCAGGTGACACTTTCGGAATCAGCGGTAATCACCTGCTACAGCTGTTCTCCGATAATCATATTTTACTGACCAGGATGAATTTCAGGCAAAGAGAAACATTGATGTGGTGTCCACTGACCTCAACTCCATTGTGAATTAAGATAGACCAAAATGTCATCATTTATCGTGGGAGGTGATCGGTGAAGGATTGCTGATTCTTCTTGAGCATGTATTTGGGCAGTGGCGCCTAGTTGGTTCGAGCACATGTATGTCTGCGTTCTAATGGATGTCCAAATTGTATACCAGCAAAGATCTTGGTGAGTGCTACTTGACAA